TCGCTTCTAGTAACAAGTGCCTTACTAGTAGTAACAAGAAGCTACTATAGTAACAAGAAGCGTATACCTAGATCTTCCAACTATGCAAAGACCTGTCAACAGTTCGCACTGTCACCGTGTCCACAAACCGCATGTCCACGGTCACCGCGTCCACGGACGGCCCGCCGGACTCCATACCCATCCATCCTGTCCAACATCTCCACACCCCCAGACTCCCCACGTCGGAGGGGTCAAAGGTGTGGGAGTGAGAAAAGGTGTGTGCGCCCTGCAGGGAGTGTGGGGGGAATTTGCCCTCCCGTTGGAAGGTTCGGGGTCCAGGTTCGGGGTCCAAATGGTCTCCCTCAACGACACTACACAATCAAAAAAAGGCTGCTCTGTCCCTAGCCCGAAATGATGGGGCTCTACAGTAGTAGGTGCACCGCAGAAAAGCTCTGCCCAAACCCTACCCATCAACCCTTCCCTGGCCCCTCCCGCCGAACTCCGCGCTGTCCATTCCTCTGCCCACTCCACCGGTGGTCCGGATCGGGTCGATCTCGGGCCGATCTCGGGCGTCGGATGCCCTTCGGCGCCTAAAAAGACGGCATCCCCCTGGATGTTGATCGAACTACCGAGTTGCACCTCGGTGGTTAAGCTCGCCGCTCGCGGTCGCCCGCGGTCACCACCGGGCGCAGGGCGCCGCGCCGCCCTTCGCGACCGGCTTTGCGAACGCACAGGGTGGACGCGAGCTCCGTGGTTCCGGGTGCGCAGTCGAACGTCTGCTATGATGAAGCTTAGTCTGTACCTACAGAGGTTAAGTGACCTGAACTAGGACCCTACAGGGGTACCGAACTAGGATAGTCTAGTTCGGGTTCTTCAACCTCTGCTGGTACTCCACCTGATAGTCACGATCCATCACATAGCAGGACATTGTTCTCAAGCGAAGCCGCCCGCTCGGCCGTGAAGACGAGGCGAACGAAGACGTGGTCCAGCGCCGCCGAGACGAATGCCCGCCAAATGGCTGGTTAGTTAAATGTTGTACACCAGGACATTCAAAGTGACCTAACTTGAGATCCTAGAATGAGGTCACTTAGTCCCTAAAGAGGTCACTTAGAGACTCCAAAGAGGTCACATTGAAGGTCCTGGCAGTTGGAAAATCGTAACAAGGACCTTCTGCTTGGTGGAGGCCAAGTCGGTAAGTCGGCCATCGCGAGTTTGGACCGTCACAAGAAGCGCATCGAAGAAGTCACAAAGGTCAAACACCCTCCCAACCGACTCGGTACCGACTCGTGTTTTTGCTCCATCGTCCCAACCCTTGGTCGAAGAAGACTGAGAGCGTCACATGATCTCTGATAGAGGCTGTGGATGCAAAGTTGGTGTGACCTCAAAAGAAGAAATGGCTGTGGGTCGCACCCGAAGCTGGCTGTGGGTCGAGGTAGGTTGACTAGGTTGACCTCTCAGGTGGTCTATAGTCTATTCTGTTCATTCTTGGTGGTCAACCAGGGTGTCCTGGTTTTGACCCACAGCCAAATGAAAACACGGCCTGAGGAAGGAAGGAAGGAAGGAAGGAAGGAAGGAACTTGAGGATCAAGGCTCATGACAGAAAAAAAAAAAAAACGAATGGTTTTCTGTCCTTTTGCTGGGGCAAAGAAGATGCTTTCCTTTGAACATCACCGGGGGTCGGACAGTCTTCAACGGGCCCCGTCCGGACCCTGGAGGGTCCAAGTGGGAAAGATCTGCTTAGAAAGTCAAAGGTGGGCTGCCAAGGGTGGGCAACTTCAAACATATCATCCAGAAGTATGCTTGATCTGGTGGATGTCGTGGCAAAAATCCACCAAGAAGGGTTGTTCTTCGGGATTCAGGCTATGAAATATGGGGTATATCACATTCCTCGTAACAGTGGATGATTGATGATGATGATGATGATGATGATGATGATGATGATGATGATGATGATTAGGTTGCAGGCATTTCCTTAAAATAGATAAGGGTTTACGGACTGTTACGGGTTTACTGGCAGGCTAGCAAATACTGGGCGAGGAATTCTGTTTCACACGCTGGCAGAGTCATTCGGGTGCCTTTTTCATGCAGCAACTTTGAAAAATGTGTGTGGATCAAACATAGGGCGACCTCCCAGGCGTTCCTCCCCCCGTGGCTTCGCTTCGAAGAAAAATCGGGGCAACTTTTCACTCCGGGGATATCCTCCCTTTTAAGACAGAAGACGCACCAGGGGCGCCATGGTCTTGACTAACCTAGACCTAGATCTTCCAACTATGCAAAATTTATCCCTTTTAGTGTACAAAACCAGCCAAAGGCATACATTTTGATACATTTTGCATAGTTGGAAGATCTGGGAATGTCTGACCCTTGGGACAAAAGAATGTCCGGTTTCCACGCTTTCCCGGTGCAAACCGGCCTGACCGCCCCAGCAGACGGCCGATTCGAGGGCGACACTCGCGGCGGTCGCGTGGTAGCTCGCCCTCCGCCACCCCCCGAGTCAAATTCATCCAACGATCCATTCTGGCACCCACCTACAGAGGTAGCCAGTGACCTGAACCAGGACCCGGAAAACCTGGGGCACCTAGTTCGGATAGTCGAACGTTCGGGTTCTGAAAAACCTCTCCTGGCACTGCGTGACTGGCACCCTCAGGGGCTCGGGACACCGGTCCCTCCCGTGAGAGTCGCTCGCTCCGTCCGTCGCCACCATCGACTCGACCCGCCGTTGGTCCCACCCACCACCGGCCGCGCCCCGACCCGCCCAAACGGACTCCGCCGGTTTTGTCCCGGTCCGAAACGACGGGACCGCCCAGCGGACCGAACTGGTCCACCGAAGGGTCGGTGGAAAAAATCCGGGGGGAAAAGGAACGGAACACCGCTGAAAGGCGGAGTCCAATGGTCCTGGGGTCTCTTTGGCCAACAAACACCCTGCCCCCAAAAACGCTCCAGGTGCACGCCCCGATGGGTCACACTCGGGAATCGCCGGAAGCTGTCCCTTCCCATTGATCAGTTACTCCTGAACTCGGGTGTCACCTACTAGTCAAACCCTGTTTTTTCAATGGTCAACTGGACCCGGACCCCCCCAACAAAACCATCCCTATGGATCCACTGCCACCTTCTCAGAAGGTCATTGGACCCTCAAAGCCGGCATAACCGTGTCTCAAGATAACCGTACCTGAGAAGTTCTGTGGATCCAGTCGACACCTGTGATGAGTCCGCACCGATGCCACTCGGTGCGGGAACCGAAGCCTTCCCCCGAACCAAAAACACCCAATTCAGCGACGGAACGGTTGAAGGAGTCCAGTTCAAGCAGGGCAACACCACGACCTACAGAGGTGGATAGTGACCTGAACGTTCGGACCCTACAGGGGTACCGAACTAGGATAGTCTATCGGGTTCTTCAACCTCTGCTGGGACACCGCATGTCAGCCCAACGCGCGTTTTTGTACGCTCAACCCCCAACGCGCGTACTCTCGACCGTGTGGATGAGGCACCAAAAACAGAGAGGACGCTGCCGAGGTTCACTTGGTTGTACCTCGACACGCGCGAAAAGGAAAAAAGATCGCGCCGTTCAGAGCGGCCAAAAAAGCGCCGTTCAGAAAGGCGCGGTCCCAAAAAAGCATCTTTCTTTGGGGTGCGTCGACGCTTCGAGGGGTTTTTTGAGCTCCTGGTTGGTGATAATAAGATTTTGGAAGGAGTCTTCGGGTTCGAGCTCCTCCTGGTGATAAGATGTCAGGAGTTTTGATGTCTACATGACTCCAAAAGCGCAAGTACACATCACCTTTTCCCCAAGCTCGGAAAGTTCTGAAAATGTCTCCCCAACAGGTTCGACTTGCCCGTTCGGCCCGTTCCACGATGAACACCAAGGTCTCGCCTGTCTCAGCCTCCAGACACCAACGGAAACCCGACAGAGGTCCAGTGTTCTGGACCATTCTGATCTGAACCTTCAGAGGTAGCCAGTGACCTGAACGTTCGGACCTGTCACCTGGGGTTCCGAACTGGGATAGTCGAACGTTCGGGTTCTGACCCACCTCTGGAAGTAAAGGAGTTGCTCCTAGTAGTTCAGGGCCACCTGCTAGTCAGACTCTGTTTTTGATGGTCATGACTCATGGCTCAACTCGCAGGGGAACTCCCTCATCACTGCTGTTCTGGTTCGGCTTGCAAGCAAGCTTGAGTGATGATCACACTGGCAAGTGCTTCATTCTCCTGTCGTTCCACAGCTACCTTTCGATACTCGGGAAAGAGACCTGACCAGACCTTACCAAATACTCGGACTCCTAACTACATCACCCAACTGCTTCTCCTTCTCCGTCCACCGGCTCAAACCGACTCCGTCCCCCACCCGCGAGCCGCGCGAAGGGCGCCCCCCAAACCCCCACCCAGGCCCCCCGGACACGGAGAGCGTTCCACCCAAGCTGGTCGCTGAGAAGATGGACACCCGGCCCCCCATGTTCACCTCAGCCACCAGGAAGACCGCCCGACTGGAACCGACCGAGGAAGACCGCCTCCAAGGTCGCAGGCGGTTCGGGGTATGGGGGTTCGGGGTATAGTCTCCTGGATCCCAACAGGGTCCAGAGCAGGAGATGAGTAGCGTCCTTGCTCCGATGAGTCCTTGGCCAGGGTCGCCCCTTGCTCCGTTCGGTTCGCGTCCGATCGTTCCGTTCGAGGCGCGGAGGCGTCTTGGAGCCCCTAATTCGTAGCGTCTTGATGTCCAGTTGGTCAAGGGAAGGTTCGAAGAGAATGGCCCGCCATGGCGCGCCATGGCGTGGCCATGGGAGTCTCACTTGGGATGCCGGGTTCGATCAACCAACCCAGGAACGTTCCTGGGTGATGCTCTGGAAGCACCTGAGGATCACACTGGCGGCCATGATCAGTTCAACATCTTCTTAGGGATTCCTGGCCCCGAAGTGCATCGCCCGTTCTTCCCGAAGCAAGGATGTTCAAGGTTTTACTGCCGGAATCTTTGCCCACGCACTCTTGGCAAGACAATGCAAGACATGCAGAGTCGGAGTCCAGTCGGCGATTTCTGCAGGGCCTGACGAGTTCGTGGACCAGGTCGTGAGATGGGACCAGGTTCGCTTGTCGACGACTTCAGCCGATGGCCATCGTTTCTTCCGGGACATCCGACCCAAAACCGACCCAAAGCCGAGCGAATGGGGGGACCGACCGACTTGGGAAAAACACGTCTCCCCAACGTCCCCAGAGCGAACCCAAAGGAAGAACTGATCGAGGTGGTTGAGCCGACGTCTCTTTGAGGTTACCAGGCCTGGCAACGCGACCCAAAATGGTTGATCTGGTGATTTTGTAGTGTCAAAACCCTTATAGTAAAACAATGGTTGGGACCGGGATTCAGGCAATTCCAACAATTGGTTCGACTTCTAGGGGCCGTATGGGGTCATACAGTTAATACCCGGTAGAGAAGATGAAAGTACTATAAGGGTTTGGTTCTAGCTTTCAATGTGTCGGCAAACGCTGGTCTTTGAAAGCCCCAAAAGACCCAAAACAAGCCCTCCCCCCTCTGGCCCCGCTCGCCATGCTTTTCGCCCATGCAAAAACGAACTCGCGCCAAGATGTGCTTGCCCAAGGCGCCGTGTCGAAGACGGACAGCGACCCCCCTAATTTGACCTCGCCAAATGCAGAACGTGCGCGGACGAGAACTGAAAAAACATCGTCGAGGATGAGGTCGAGGGTCGAAGGTCGAGCAGGCCTTCCAAACCTCATGTTCTTCGGACGCAAAAGATGTGTCTAGCAGTGAAGAGCTTGCACTGAGCCCCGAGCTTCCCAAAAACCCTGGAAGCTTTCCCTCAAAGCCTCGTTTGACTGTCTGTCACAGCTGTAAATGACACGGTCAAACCCATTGATAGTCGACTCGGACTCCCAAGCTTCCTACTGGTGGGTCCTCTTCTCCTTTCTTTGAAGGAATGTAGGCCAGGAGTCACACGGCTGTGGGGAACTAGGCACCAGGTGATGTGTGACGGGTTTTTTTATGCGTGGAAGGTCCTTCGCTGATGTTGGGGGGCTTGACCGACTTTGACCCGACCCCATTCCCACACTGTACTCCTTCCGTTCGTTCGTGCCCCCCTCCTGGCGGATCCGTCGCGCCGCGAGGGTCCCGTCTTGGCGCCTCTCTCAGCACAGAGAGGGTGGTATTGAAAAAGGTCTCGTCATCCGGTGTGAACCTGAAAAAACACCGGCCGTGGCCCACGAGGTCCAAGCGTCAGCGGTTTGCGTCCGCGACGTCTAGCACAATGAAGCACTTGGAGTAAATTAAGTCTTAAATATGCACTGTACTATAGTGCCTATCTGTCACTCATTGCTCCAGTCTCTTTCTAAGCAAAATAGGAGCATGCCACCAACACGCGAGCTCGGACTTCGCTCGCTCCCTTCGCTCGGACTTCGCGATCGGCTGAGCTTCCCCTGCGTTCCACCACGCGACCGGCTGAGCTTCCCCACGCGACTTTGCTGCCGGAAGGCGTTTGGAACACCAGGGCATTGCCACCGTAGAGATCCTGGCGACGGACTTCTCCCCTCGGGTCCACCGACCCACGGCCCCAGGTCGCCCACGCCCAGGGACGGGGGACGCACGCCACACGCGTTCACGCGTTACTCGGATTTCATGGGCAACGGTCTCCTGGACGATGATGTCCCATAGTCTCACACCTGACCTCAGTCGCTGTCGTCCGCTCGGTACCGGCACCGGCGGCGTCCGGCTCGCGAAAGACGAGGGCTTCACCCGGCGGACCCGGTTCAGCGGTTCAAGGGTGTAGGAGTCGAAGTGATGTCTAGCAGTTCCAGCAGAGGGGAACTCCCAAACCCATTCCGACCTGGAAGTGCAAAGAGTCCAACTGCCCAGTTCCAGGTCAGAATGCTTGGACTAGTCCCATCCAAGGGCTGTGGATGTGGATGTGTTTGTTCGGGGCACCCCTCTCCTTCCTCTGTTTGGAACCGGCACCCCTCTCCATCGAGTGATGGAAGCTAGACATCACGTATACCCTACATAGAAGTCCAGTTCGACGATAAACCTTGATCGACTGAAGTAGTCTGGGAGCTCCCTTTCACTCACGACCTGATCCCCTGGGCCTCGTCAGACCCTTCTTTTTGAGAGTCATTCCCGGACTCCTTGCATCTCACAATCCAAGGCCCAAAACCTCACAGGGTATGGATGCAGGGGAATTGAAAAACCCGGGCGGAAGGAAAAAACAACGATCCATCTCAGATCTCATACCAGGTTTCATACCCTCACAGTCACATGTCGCTGTCAGGGTGCCGAACCTTGGAGGTAGTCGACGTGCCCTGTTCCAGGGACCAAACGACACCACCCCGACATGCGAACCCCTCACGACACGTCTTCCTTTCCACCCCGACCAGACCGACACACCGAGGCCCCACACGACCTGAGCGTCACTCTCGGCGCCTGACGCAGAAAGAGCGGCCGAGAGTAGATGGAGGGACCGACCCCAGTGGAGGGACCTCTTGGGACTTGCCGCATCCAAAACTGGAAGGATGAGGTGCCTCGGACCTGGGCCTTCAAAGGGGTGCGAAAAATGGAGATCCCTAAGTAGTGTAGTGTAGTCTATTGGAGACCCCTTTGAAGGTCCAAGGATGTTCACCCACATTTATAGAAAAAGGGCTTGTGACTTTGGAATGCCTGCCCGACCAGTCCAGTCTGACCCAGGTCCAGTCTACTGGTTTTTGGAAAAACCTCCGCTATGGAGCTCCGTGTTTTTGTATGACCAACTCCAGTCTTTGATGTCAGGCAACCTGACCCAAAAAGGGCTGCGAAGGGCTTCGATATCCCATTGTTCATCGAAGTCTTCGCCGTAGTCAGCCGACATCTTGGGGGGATGCGGAATGCATCCACACCGCAAACGCAGGTCCACTCGCATGTAAAGACTTGAGAAAAAGGGGGGATGGTTCAACCCAATAAAAGGTGAAGTGACCTGAAAAAGGACCCATCTCCTGGGGTATGTATCTCTAGACTTCCTGGCCCACCATTAAATTCATAGGCTGGTCATCCCGAATCAACTATATAAGGATTTTACACTATCAAAGACCAGGTCGTTCCCCACTTTTTTCATGGTCGAACGGAAGTCTGGGGTATGGGATGGTGCTCTAGGCTTCTTTTCAAGCTCGGTTGGAGCTTTTGAATCCGTTGGTCTGTCTGTGAAATCGACCTTCTGAAGGCCTACACGCCCCTGGCCCCTGCGTGTTTTTGGTAGCAAGGCAGTGCATTGGAATAGGGAGACCCCCTATTCCACGACCCCTGGGAAAATACACAAAGAACACATGAAACCTCATGGCTGTTTTTGGTCTCCCTCTTGAAAAATACCAATCCCCATATTCATGCAGGGTCAATCAGGATCAAATGTTCTCCACCTCTGTGCTCCCCCGCCCCAAAAAAGGATCACTTCAAAATAGCAACCCTAAGGCTCCAGTTGTACCTCCGAAGCGGTTCGGTATGACTGGACCCTGCTGGCATCCACCCACCCCAGTGCCACCGGACAAACGGCACAGTTGCCGCACGCTCCGGGCACTACTCCATGATGGCTTCTGGGTCATGGCACGCTCGGAAAATCCGAGCTAATTACCAAGGTCAAGCTGTACATGGATGTGCAGCTCAAAATAGGGAGACCTCTCAAAGACACCCAGGAAGAAGGGAAGCTGAACCCCAAACCCGCCTGAAACAGGGAGCCTCCCACCGTTCTGCTCCGTTCCTCGGGCTGCTGTGGGTGGACCCATCCATCCGCGCTTTCCTTCCGGCGCCTGGTTGTAGGACGGGTCCAAGTCTAATGGACCCAGAAGGGTGATATCTCCTGGCGAGATCGAAAGGTGGAGGGCTGGCTGGCGGGGAGGCTAGAGGGGATCAGATCCAAAGAACCCCGTGGGCCCGGCGCCCGAGCCCCCCGCTGCGTTTCGGTGGTCGGAGGGTTCTCCACCGAAACGCAGCGGAGGTCAACGGACCCGAAGCAAAGCCTGCCGATGTGGTGGTTCGGGCCCGATTCTTAGTGTTTGGGATCAGGTCTTCAGTGAGGTGGCCGTGTTTTGTGGGTGGAGACTTGGTTTGGGGACTGGAAAAGGCCAGGTCCAGGCGTGAGATCACTTGGCGAAGAGGACTCCCTCGACTCTCACAAACCAACCAGCAGTTCCAGGTCGGAATGGCTCAAGGAATCCCATCCAGTGAGTGGATGTGACAGGGGCACCCTTATCCTTCAATCCCTACTCCGGAAAAAAAAAAAAAAAAAAAAAACTAAGGCTAAGGCTCCAAGTCCCTTCTGAGAAGGTGGGACTGGGTTGGTGCCAGGGAGGGTCCAAACGCCTTCGGAGGGTACAACTGGGGAGCCGCCGTCCCACCGCTTCTCCCGGCCCACGTCCGTCGTCGTCGTCCTAAAAACGCGGAAACAGCAGAACCAACAGAGGTGTGTCATGACCCCATAGACTATCCCAGTTCCGTACCCCTGTATACAGGGTCCTATTTACGGTCACTGGCTACCTCTGTAGGAAGGGGCACGTACCGCCGTGCCGTTCTGGTGGGGTCCCCTCCGCGTGAGTGCGCCGTTCGGCGCCTTCTTTGGAGACGAGCACCCATGGGGCCACTCGTGGCACAAGAGTGCTGAGAGCCTCGGAGCCGAGAAGAAGAACGCCCCAAACGGCGGGCTGAGAAGGAGCTACGGCGGCCGCTAGCTAGGTGCTGTGGAAGGCCAGGTGAAGGGGGAAGGGGATCGAGACCAGGGCGGGGGGGGAGCATGAAATGGAAATGTGTGGCAACGTTCGAAGGTTTGGACCCCCACTTTCTGAGGAGCACCCCGTTGAGCTGGGACAAGCTGGCAAGCCTGGCCTCTGACCCAAAAAGGCAGTGTGCGGAACGATGTGCGGAGACCCGAAAACCAGTGCCAGCAAATGTTCAAGGAGGAAGTCATCTCTCATCAGCATTGACGGACTCTTCAGGATCCTCTAGCCTTCGTTCCTCAGGCCGTCCCGCGGCGGGCCACGGGTCCCACTCACGTTCCTGGGTGACCCGTGCAAGGAGCCAGCTCCACAGGCGCATCGATCATCTGCCTGGTGAGGGACAGGCTATCCATGGGACACCTATGACAGGCTATCCGTGGATTTGTCCACTTCATCCACGACAAATAGCCTTGTTCTAGTGGTTGGGCTCAGAGCCAGCCCACCAATAAGACATACAATGGGGCCAGCATGGCCAGCCTTCCCAAAGGATGATCCCTGCTTCGGAGGTTTTGGGTGGCTTTGCTTACAAGAAAGTCAAACACAAATACATGTTGTCCGGTCAAGACAGCCTATCCATGACCGTCTATAGTTATTTTCATGTTCTACTAGCGCATCAATACTACAACCATCCGACCCAATCCACCGATCAGTCTCCCAAAGCACCAGACACCCATCCCAATCCCAATCCGGCTGTGCATCCGCTCCGGCCCCCGTCTTCACCCGTCTTCATGCGCCACACGTGGGGGGGGAAGCTCCGGGTGCCCCGGACTGCCCGCGGCGGCGTCCAAGCCCCAGTCTGAACCCCGGGGTCTTCGAGCCACAGAGCCGTGCGAGCGGCGAGACACGGTCGGCGCGGCGCGGCGGTCGGAGCGGGAGAACGGAGAAGAACGCGGAGAACGGCATCGCCAGATCACATGGAGGTGGGGTTGGGTGCGTGCGGCCGTGGCCTCGTACTTTCGAATGAGCCAGTGGATGTGACATGATGTGACATGATGTGACGGTCACTGGCTTTCGAATCCCAGAAACAACTGCGCTCGTTCTTCGCGCCGGCCTGTTAGTGGTGGAAGGACTTACTGTATATACTAGTTGGTGGGGTGCTTCATCAGCCAAGTTCCGAAGTTCCGCGGGAAGCGAAAAGAGAGAGAGAGAGAGACAGACCAGGACCCTCCAAGGGGTGCCCAATGGAAGCCAAAGGTATAGTATGGGGGAGTCCTGTTTACACCCCTTGGAGGGTCCTGGGAGAGAGAGAGAGAGAGAGAGCGCGCGCTAGCTCCGACAGGCGGTGGTGCGGACACGCCTGTCCACGCACCAAAGGAAGAGCGATCCGATCGTAGAAAACACCGGTCGATACGGGGAAAAAAGGGAGAGAGGGGGGGAAAGAGGGATAGAGGGGCCGAAGTTGGATGACTTTCATGGAACAGCCATGGGCGGGTCTGCGATGGGCCAAAGGGACCCCCCCTAAAGGTCCTAAGGATGTCACGAAGATTCTGTTTTGAGGTCGACTGATGGGAGGAGAGGAAGCCTTTTATGAGCATCTGAGGAATGACAAGAACAAGAATGGTCTGATCAAGAATGGTCACGCTCAAAGCCTCGAACGTCACTTCTAGGGCCGGGTCATGTCCCAAAGGGCACCACCATGGTGACCGCCACAGACCGGCCAGCACTGCGAGCCCTGCGAGCACTGCGGCTTTTTGGACGACGCGGGCGGACGGTGCGTTCCGGTCGGGGTGGTCTTCACCCCATCGTTCCACGCGCTCGGCGAGACTGACAGGTGCCTCAGATGACTCGGTGTGCTGACGTGGGTGGCGACGGGGGGGATGGAAGAGAGCCGTCCATTCGGCGGAAATCAAGCCAGACCGCCCAAAGAAGTAGTGACGCTGCACATCCTTCAGGGGCAAAAATCCTTCTACCTTCGGTGCCATGATCCAAAATTCTTGTGAGGGAAGCTCATCCTGACTTCATCAACCCCCTTATACGCACCAAGACCAAGACTCATACTACAAAACGAAAATGAAAGGGCTCGTGGTGCTTGTCCAGGGAAAAGAAATGGTGGGGGTTCTGAGGGTTTTGTTGGATCTCCGGTCACACAAGCGCGCGTGACTTCTCCCAGCACCGAACCCAACAGGTCTCCGAAATGGAGGGTTGGGAAGGGCCCTAACAGGTTTCAATTGGTGACCTGTTGCAGGTGCTGGTTCATATGTCACTTCTTCTTCACCGGCCAATTCTTCGTCCCATCCCGCACCTCAGCCGACGACAATGGGTTTCAACTGGTTCTTCTCCTGGCACGGTGGGCGCGATGGCGCGTAGCGTCCGGGTTTTTGGGGCCTCGCGGTTTCGAGCCGTGCTTTGACGCCGCGCGTGGTTCGAGCGGCCTCCTGTTCGTTCTCCATCTCTTCCGTGTGGTCCCGCTGCTTCCTTCGAAGCCACGCGTGCGCTTCAGCGCCCGAAAAGGAACTCAAGGCCCAAACCGACCCACCCAAACCGGGGCGTGTTGAGCTTCAAACGGGAAAATGGCCTGTGCCCTAGAAGTCCAGTTCGACGAGATGTCTTGACCGACTGAAGTCAAGGAAATTCCCTGTCGGGTCACCGAACTCGTCAGACCATTCTTTTTATAGTCTTTGACTCGCAGGGTGTGCATCTTTTGCTGGCTGTCTCCCGTTCTTCGCTTTGACTCTTTTTCGCACCGGTTTCTTCTGCTCCCGACACCAGCTCTACGCCACTCGTTCAGCTCCCTCAGCAGATGCCAATCCCCAACACACCTGACTTCCAACACACCCTTCTCCTCGCCCCATCTGATGGTTCACATTCCTCCCCGAGGCGTCACACCACGTCACACCGTCACGAAAAACGCCTGTGCAATTGCAGCTGCTGAAGGTTCTGGCAAATGTAGCCACAAACCTGGACACGGGGTGCACAGGCAGGTACTCAGGTGGAAGAAACTAGGAAGAGTTCTCTTAGCCCTGCGTTCTTGGTGCGGTCATGCATCTGCTCTCATCTGTGCGCTCTCATATGTGTGCTTTCATATATGTCCCCTCATATGTTTTCCTGTACTTGCTCACATCCGTGCGCTCTCACATCTCACAACTCTGCTCTCTTATGTGTGCCCTCATGTGCTCACATATGTGTGTTTTTTCATGTGTATGCTCTCATGTATGTGTGTGTGTGTGTGTGTGTCCGCCCTAGAGTACAGAAGTTGGCTTAGATGCCTTTGTCTTGTTCTATTCAACACTGTTTGGGGTCTCTTGCCAGATCATGCATTAAAATCGATGTCAATTCCAACTGTTATTTGCCCGCTGTATGCCCGGTAAACAATGGTAAGGGGGGGTTAGTGAGGCATTCTATAGAAAATTACCCTCTATAGTGATAAAGGGCCAACAAAGCATTGTTAAGCCAATCCAGGAGACAACTCTCTCCAGTACCTCCTCTTTCAGGATGAGACCCCGAGCGAACTGTTCCATTTCCTCCCCACCCGTTTCCGCACCGGTTTCCGCACCCGTTGCGGGGTCACCCCCTGCGGGGTTGGCTTGGTCCACCATTCGTTTAGGAGGCAGGTCATCCCGAACCATCCTTGTTTTTACGAAGGATTCTAGATTTGACACGACAAAACCAGCTCCGCCCCATGGTTTTCAGCATGGTCTTCCGCTCCGGAAGCCGCGGAAGGGATACACCTCACCACCGCAACACCATCTGCGACTTCCTCTGCGGAAAGGCGCGGCGCTCGCTCGGAGAGCGCCTTGCAGGTCCAGGGCGACTTCATGCGGTGCCATGGCACGTCCACCGCGTCCGACAAGTAGATGAGCTCGAGCTCCGCCTCGCCGCGGCACGGAGGCGTTCCGACGGCCCGAGGGGGACCGTTTGGGGAGGACGAGGACGACCAGACGTTTGGGGCGGGACGAAGTGGAGGAAGTGGAGGAGCTCAGCATTGCGCTGATCCCACTAAGTGGAGTGGCACCCTCTTCACCAGCAGGCTTTCGGGAAAAGAAACCCAAAAATCGACCCAAAAAACGGCCGACCCTGGTCGATGCCGCGCGCGGGCGGACGGCGTCAGCGCGGGCGGACGGCGTCGGCATCGCTCCACGGTGGGGCCCAAGAAGTCGAAGCATTTCCCAGTGCATCCCAGGCAGGTAAACCACGAGTACATAAGGAACCAGGGATTCGGAACCGGTCGATGGCTTGAGTCGAACTGGAACCACTGGGACTCCCAGCGACCTCGTGGTTTCCCTGGATTCGCTAGGTTTAGGAGTCACAGAGCTCGCACGGGGGTGGTTTGGCTCGTCCCATCCGTCGGCGAACCCCCTGGATGTGACAAGACAAACCCCGACGACCAGCGGTCGGCGCCCCGAGCGACCTGTGAATGGTGGATGGTTTTTGGAATGAATGCATCATAACCAGGAGTCACAGAGCCCAAGAAGCCGAACGAACGGAGGAAGGAGTGCAGGTGCCCCTGTCACATCCACTCACTTGGGAACCAACCACCACCCCGACATGTGACTCCTGGCATCTGCATTTCCGAGGTACAAAAGGGGTCGAGGTACCCAGGTACCTATGAGTACACGACCGGGGGTCACCTCCCCTCAACAAACATATCCGCCGCCAATGTCGGGAAAAGAACCAACGCCGCGCAGTCCGAAGTCGAGCTGCCAAGGACCTGAACGTCCGCAAATTTTTGGGGTGAACTACCCTGGAATTCTATCAGCCAAGCATCCAGGAACTGCTGGGCGGTGCTCAAAACAGCACGACTGAGGATCACAAAACCACTACCTTCCCATGATTGGAACCCACATGTCTCCAGAATTCCGGGCGCAACCATGGAACTTAAGAGCGGGCTCTCCCCGAAGAACCGTGGTTCTACGAAGGAGTTTGCAGTAGACGACCCGATCTCCCATTCTAAACACGGTTCGAGTCAGACTTCGTGGGTACCATGAATTACTCACTTCCCAACCCTACAAGTCTCCTGCCCCTGAACACCTCCGTAGGAATCGTGGGAGTCCTGGTATGATCAACTCCAGTCTGTCACGAGGACAGTTCCTGATCTTAGTACACCCAATCGAAGTCCAGGAAAGACCAGTTTGAGCAACACCCAAGGTTGCAGGAAATGTCTGAACCTGGATCACCGATCTTCCCGACATGGGGCCTCATGGGGCTTCGAAGTGTACGCCACCTCTTGGTCACAAGAGGGACAAGCCTTGGCGGATGTGGCGAAAGGACCCGACAAAAAGGGACCATCCGAAAAGATGTCAATCCGGATTTGTGGAGCCCGCGCGGGACTCGAGGATTTGTGGCGCCACCCCCGTGCTTCCACAGGCATCATGTGGGTGTGCAAAGGCACAAAGTGACTGCAAGTCAGACACATGCAAAAAAATACAACAAATTCTGGAAGAACCATGGCAATTGAAGTTTGTCGGGGTCAACAAACAATCACAAAGAATGGTCTGACACGTTAGGGGACTTGAGTTCGAGAATTTCCTTTACTTCACGAACTTTTGCAAGAAAAAGTAGAGTCGAACTGGACTTCTAGAAAAGTAGCAAGCCAGACATGGTGCACAGGACCGGGTCCAATGACCCTCCAACGAACGAAGACCATTTGTCCATATCTTTTTTGGCATGAAACTGAAACTAGTCTTGCTTGCAGGCCTGAGCGTGACAGGACTACCGTGTCGACAGCGAACTTGTAGATCGACATGCTTTTCGACTTTTCAAGCCTCTGGACTGAGCTTGAAGTGGTGCGTTCGGGCGCTACATGGAAGGCAGTCATCTCGCGCAGTTATGTTCAAGGCTTGAGCAGCATCTAGGAAAGAACATGGCGTGCTGGC